TTTTTTTTTTTTTTGGCGGAACCGGGGATTGAACTCAGGCCCTTGCGCTTGCAGGGAAGCACTTATTCCACTGAGCCATCTCCCCGGCCCCTATATTATATCTTTTGGATCTACCACCTTATCAGCTTCTCAACTAGGCAGACAATACAATATTTACACATAGGCATCTGGTTTTAGTTGCATCCATTTACCTATAAAAGTCTCCAGTTTATCCTTTATGGCTTTTTCCTTCCTTCATCGTATAAACATACCACATCTTTTTTTTTCCCATTCCTCCACTGATGGACATTTGGGTTGTTTCCAAGATCTAGCCATTACACATTGTGCTGCTTTAAACATGGGTGCACAAGTATTGCTGTGCTATCATGTTTTAAATTTTTCTAGGAATATACCCAGGGGGGGCCTGCCCATTAGCTGAGTTGTTTAAGTGCCTGCTTAAGCAAAGCAGTCAGGCTTAGGATTCTTGGTTTGATCCCCGGATCCTCATGCCTTATCAGACCTGCCCTTAAGGCATCCTGACCCAGCCAAAAAAAAAAAAAAGAATTTACCCAGAAGGGGAATAGCTGTTTTCAGTGGGACCTCCAATCCTGGATTTTGGAGAAATCTCCAAACTGATTTGCACAGTGGTTGTACCAGTGCAGATGGGTTTCTTTTCCTCACAGCCTCTTCAGCATTTGTTATTGGTTGATTTTTTGATAATAACTGTTCTTTCTTCGGTTAGATGGAATCTCAGGGTTGATTTAATTTGCATCTCTTGACTGATCAGTGATGTTGGACATTTTTTTTTTTTAATGTGTGTGTGTGGGGGGCAGCTCAGCCCACCAGGGGGCGGGGCTGGCTGGCATGTGGTGCTGGGGGATTGAACTGCGGTCCCTGTGCTTTGCTAATCTTGTTCTAAGTAGGTGCTTTAGACCACTGAGCCATCTCACCAGCCCAAAGAATATTTTGTCATTTTTGCTCTTTTTTTTTTTTTTCAGTACCAGGGATTGAACTCAGGACCCTGCACTTGCCAGGCAAGTGCTTATTCTACTGAGCTATCTCCCCAGTCCTGATGTTGGACATTTAAAAAATATATTTATTTGCTGTTTGTATTTCTTTATCTGACAAATGTATATTTATCTCAGATGCCCATTTTTGGATTGGGTTTTCAAATTTGGGAATCTGATTTTTTTTTTTTTTTTTTTTTTTTT